GCACATCCCCTTTCACATGAGTGAATGTGATGATGTATAATGAAGATAAGCTAATGCAGAATGATTAGTGTAAAGTCATAAAGCTATGAGGACAACAGACACCTCTAAATTATTTTAGTTTCATTCTAGCAAAGGATGGCATTTTTAATGTTTGTATGTACCTTGTTCTCTGGCTTAACTGCCATGAGTAAGCAACAAACTCATATTCTGGCCTCAGTGTTAGAGTGGCTGGATTAAAACCAGCTATTTCCCCCTGCTGGTTGGACATATTTTACATTCTCTATCTTACTGCCTGCAGCATTAGCACTCCCCATAGTACCAAACCCATTTATTTTCCACCCACCGACTGACCTCCTAAAGCATCATTAACATGTCCCCAAAGGCCTTGCTGCTGTCAATTTTAGTCAGCACAACACTAAAAGCCTTTGTGGGGTTTATCAGAGCTCTGCAGGACAGTGAGCAAGGAAGGAAAAGGCATTAGAACCAAACCTTGGGGAATTGCTAACACAGGAAGATGAGGGAGAAATGAGGGAGAGGTCCAGGAATGGAGGGAATCCTACCTGGAGGCAGGGTGCAGGGCTAAAGATTGATGGGTTGGTTTAGAGACACCCATAATTAAATGCTTCTGTCACTCAATTCTCAGCTAGTTAATGGCAGAAGGATCAATATCCATTCTCAATTTTCATGTACAGCATTATGGCCCTAGTGGGAAACAGGTCTCTTGGGAAGGAGGGATGATTCAGGAAATGGGTCTGGGAAAGGATGATTCATGACTGAAATTAATAATTTTATTGGTTTGCCTTTATATTTTCTCAAATATATTTGGAGTTTTTCTTTTGTTTTGATCAACTTTTTCTTTTTTTCTCTGACAACACTACTTATATTGAACTCAGTCATAGAGAAATTGTTTACGTGGAGAGAATATCAGGAATAAATGTGAAACCGAGTTATGTAAACAAAGCTATGTCAGTTTGAAATGATATCCCCAGAGTTCATCCACCCTCACCACAGTGAGCCCTGAGCTTCCAAACGGAGCAAAGTGAACAGCATTACATTCTGCAAATACTACTTGACTTCTAGAAATCTTAACTTCTCTAGCTTGCCAGTTATTCTTTTGTTTTCTTCTTGGGAGAGGACTAAGCAAATTGTCAGTGGGTTTCCATTTTAAACTAGATTCATATCATTCTAATGGCAAAAAATAAGTTTTAAAACATAATATTTTGATAGAATTTTTTTTCAGAACCAAGCAGAAAATTTGATGTTTCTAGAGAAAAAATAAAAATAGGCAGCACAGCATGGGATGGAATTATTTTGTGAAAGTATGTCATAAATCCAAAGCTGCATTTATAAAATCTTTGAAAAAATATATTTACCAGCACTAAATGTAATGGAATGTTGCATCCTGCTAAATTAGGATGTTAATAATTCCATCTTGATTCATGTGTCCCTTCTCATACATGTGTCCATCTTCAAATTACATGTTCCCTAAATAAGTTTTTAAAAATTACCCACTATGAAATATTCTTCACTAATAATAAGACAATCACTCCTTCAAATTTTACCTAAATTCCTAATACTTCTCAAAGAATACAAATCCTCCTAAGTCATGTGCTTCAATGGGTACAACAGGATCTGTCAAGTGGTAATGGTGGCACCTGCAGGAGCTATGAAGAGATTTGTGCCCTTACCAAATATGCTCACAACTTTAAGGAAACTTTCTTAATCATATGCCAATACTGATATTCATAGTTCATCGTATTAAAAAACATCATTTATTAAGCACCTCTATAAGCCAGGCACTGCACTAGGAGTACATTTAGGTAGATGGTCTCATTCAACCTCACAGCAACTCTGCAAGGTAGGAATTACCATCCCATTTTATGGATGTAATAACTGAGGCTGAGGGAGGTTAAGCAACTTGCTCAAGGTCACACAGTATAAGAGTGGTGGGAAGGGTTAGGGATTCTAGCCCTTCCTGAATTCAGGCCTGACAGATTTCAAAGCCTTTGATCTTCCCCACTAAACTACAAAGCCAGATCAGCGTTGGCATACAAACCTGCTTGATCTTGACCTCATTTATTAGGAGTTGCTTTATCTTTGGGAATTTCATAATCAGAAGTACAAGGCTTATATTATAGGCTAGTATAAAATTTGATTTAATATCTTTTTCAGATTTAACAAAGGAATAATTTTTTAAAAACATTGATAGAAACAAGAAGTTAGATTTTACCTTCTAAATTATAAACCAGAATAACATATAAAAATAGGTATAAAATTCCATTGGGTTGAACCATACAAAATTGCTGTGTTTGCAGATCAAAACAGCCAAAAAGGTGTAACCTTATACAATTCATCCTAATAGGAGAAGTCTAGTTCTAGGCTATAGGGGCCCACTCAGGTCCATTCACAATGAACCTACAGTGCACACGCCCCATGCCTGTGGTGGCTTCCCGTGGGTACTGTACCTGAGCAGAAGCTGTTGCTGCTAATGGTCCTCGCTGAGCGCCCAGAGCTGCTGGGGTTGAACTCTCTGCTCTCCTCCTCAGAAAAGGGAGAATCAGAGGCTGGGGACACTTTGTGCTGTTGCTGGGGCAGATGGGGCCGAAGAATCAACCGGGGAATTCGGCTTCGGGAAATCTCCTTCTCATGATGCTGCACTCTCTGCTCCTTCTCAAAATTGAACATCAAAAAAAAAAAAAAAAAAAAAAAAAAAAAACCCAAAAAAAAAAAAAAAAAAAAAAAAAAAA